TGTCTTGAAGAGTCTTACCATTGCTCAGTGTGCCCAAGAGAATGAAGATCTGTGTCTGCAAAAAACCTTGTTATATGATGCAAACTCTCAGAATTTAGGCTTCAAAAGGGACTAAGGTAGATTTTTGATGTATTTGAGTAAGAGATTTCTTAGGAGAGTTTTGGTTTGTTGTTTTTTGTTTTCATTTGATTTAGTGTTTTGTTTGGCTTTGTTTTTGTTTGGTATTTCGAAACAGGTTTCTCCGTGTTATAGTTCTGGCTGTCTTGGAACTCACTCTGTAGACCAGGTTGGTTTCCAACTCACAGAGAGCCACCTGCCTCTGCCTCCCAAGTGTTTGGATTAAAGTCCTGTGCCACCACCACCCCCTTAAGAAAGTTATTGATGCCATAGAAAGACAGCATGGTGGGGGCTCTGAGGAGCACTCAAACCCTAGCAGGCTTTAGCAGGAGCTCCTCTTATAGGTCTCAGAGATGTGAGGAGGCCCTGTGTCTATAGTTGATGAGTAGCCAATAGTACAGTACTCTCCGGTTCCTGGGTAGCATGGGAGGTGGGAAAGATTTGGTCCTTCAGTGACTGTGTGCCCATCCTGTGGGAAGCGCAGTGGTTTGAATGAGAAGGCCCCCATAGGCATATGTATTTGAATGCTTGCTTGGTCCACAGTTGGTAGAGCTGTTTGGGAAGGACTAGAAAGTGTAGCCTTGTTGGAGGTGTGTCACTGGGAGTGGGCTTTGAGGTTTCAAAAACCCACACCATTCTAGTTATCTCTCTCTCTCTCTCTGCCTCCTATGTGTGTGTTAGATGCAAGTTCTCAGCTACTGCTGCAGCGACATTCCTGCCTGCCTGTTTCCATGTTCCCACCATGTTGGCATGGACTCCAATCCTCTGAAACTGTAGTCAGGCCCCCCGTAAACTCTTTCTCCTGTAAGTTGCCTTGGTCATTAGGACTCTTCACAGCAATGGAAAAAATAATTTAAGACAGGAGGTGTCACTTACAGCCCGATAACTTTGAGTAATTGTTAAATGTTCTTTAGAGAAATGAGAATTACAGAGTCACAGCCAGTCTTGATATCGTGCCTGCCCTTTCTTTTACAGAATCTGTGAGAGTTAAGACAGAAAGAGGCAGCTGCAGGCGACTGTGGCCTGAGTATCCCTTAGTCTGAACCAACACACAAATGTTCATAGTACTATTTAGAATACGCCAAAATCGGACATAACCCAAATGTCTGTCTACTGAGAAGTGGGTACATCATATAATTCCATGCAAGGGAATGTTACTTGGTGTCAAAGAAGAATGAAGTATTATTAGTACATGCTAGAGCATACATGAGCCTTGCTGAGTTAAAAAAACAAAAACCAGTCCCAAGTAGTCATATATTTATGATAAATTTACATGAAATGAAATATCCATACTACATGAGAACAGGGATAGTAGTAGTTGGCCAGTTGTGGAAGGGAAGGGTAAGTGGAATTGATAGCTAAGGGAGACATGAAAGTGTCTTAAAATTGACTACGGTGATAGGTGGGTATCACTAAACAGACAGACGAAAAGCCGATTGAGTGGGAGAATTACAATTTACCCACTTTAACCTCTCTCCCATGATCCTTTCTTCCTCTCACCAGTGGGCAGCCCTCACCATTAAAGTTTCAACAGATACAAGATCCACCCCAAACAAGGGCAAGGCGACACCACGACTGACAGGTTTTCCAATTTCTTAAGGCAAAAGGAATCCCCAGCAGATAAAACTGGACTGTCCACTACAGAAGAAAAAATACAAAAAAAGGAGAGTCGGATGAAATTCAAAAGAAAAGAAGCCACCACACAGCCAAAGTGCATCGCGCCATCACTTGCGGATGTGATGGCCAAGAGGAATCAGAATCCAGAAGTTAGGAAAGCTCAGCATGGGCAGGCTCTCAGGGGCTGCCAAGGATGCAAAAAGAGCTGGCATCAAAGGAGACCACACTAAGCAGAGGGCTGGAGCCTGGAAGGGCTCTGCTCCCAAGTTGGAAGAAAATGTTAATTAGGTAAACCAGAGTTTCAAATAAAGCTCCGTCTGTGGCTAAACACAAAAACAAACAAGTTTTAAGAAACATAATTATTCCACTGAACACTACTCAGCTCAAAATATTTGTAAGTTCCTAATCATTTAAACACTGTTTTCGGATCTAAGCCAAAATGATGCTATAGTAAAATGAGGAAGAGAGAGATGTGGAGTGAGGGAGAAAAGGAGAGGGAGTTGTGATCCAGTGTCCTGGCAAGATGAGTTCTTCATGTAGGTTCATCAGCTCTCCCTTCCAAAGCCATACCTGGGGCTGGGGAGAGGATGGCTCAGCCAATAAAGTGCTTACCACGAAAATATAAGGGCTTGAGTTCAGACCCCCATCACCCACATAAAAGCTAGGTATAGCAGCATATTCTGTAACCCCAGTGCTGAGGCTGCCAAGACAGGCAGAACCTGGGCCCTCAGTGGCCAACCCAGCCTAGACAACGAAACAAGCGCCAGCTTCAGAGTTGTGCCTTGTACACACACACTTCTGACCCCCCCAAAAAGCAAAAAACACCTTCTCATGAAACTCTACTTTCCCTATGGAATTACCATATTCAATTGTGTATCTTGTTTACATACAGTTTGCAGGCAGATTGCTCTGCCTTTGTGGTTTGTGTGCCTCCAAGATCCTTATACACAATGATTCAGTGTTTATTGAAGGAAAATATTGCATACTGTTCTGTACCAGAACAATACAGCTCTGTGCCTGAAAATGAGCCCTTTTATATCTTACAACAGGAAGAATTTTATACAGACTGGTGAAGTTGAATTGTTAATTCCCTCTTCACTAACAATCACAGATTCTATTACAACACTTTCTTCTTCCTTTTCTACTTTGTTGTTGTTTTGAGACAGGATTTCTCTGTGGCTTTGGAGGCTGTCCTGGAACTTGCTCTGTACCTTTCTGCTTTTTTTGTTTTTGTTTTTGAAGACAGTTTTTCTGTGTAGCTTTGGAGCCTATCCTGGCACTTGCTCTGTAGACCACCTGGCTGGCCTCAAACTCACAGAGATCCGCCTGCTTCTGCCTCCCAAGTGTAGGGATAAAGGTGTTTGCTACCAAGACTGTTGACAGCATGACCTCTTAGTCTCATTTATCAAGCCTTGTCACTTTCATTTTTGCCCTTTGAGATCAAGTCTTTAAGTATAATAAAAACTTGTACAAGAAGAACCTCAGCTGGGGCTGGAGAGATGGCTCAGATGTTAAGAGCACTTACTATTCTTTCAGTGACCCCAATTTGGTTCTCTAAAAACCCCTCAGGTACCAACTGACTCAGTGAATGTGACAGAAGATGTCTTAGACATGCTAGCTCTAGGGAAGCCCAGTGCTGAATAAACAGCCTCATGACGACAAGACAGAATTAACTAGCTGAACAAGAAAACCCAGAGAAAATGGATTGTTTTCAGTCATCACATTTCAGAATGGACTGCTGTGCAATACAAGCTCATTGACTCGAGAAGACTTAACAATTTCAATAAGATAATCACCTTAAACCAGTGGTGGCACACGTCTTTAATCCCAGTACTCTGGAGGCAGAAGCAAGCAGATTCCTGTGAGTTCCAGGCCAGCCTGGTCTACAAGAGCTAGTTCCAGGACAGGACAGCCAGGGCTACACAGAGAAACCTATCTCCAAAATCAAACAAACAAACAAACAAAAGTTCCAGGCCAGCCTGAGCCTGAATTAAGACTGTCATCTATTAATTCACATGTTTTGCTTGCATGTATGTCTGCTCACCGTGTGCATGCCTGGTCTCCATAGAGAGTTCAGGAACTAGAGCAGGACAGCTGTGGGTCCTCTGGAAGATGGCTCTGCTGAGCTATCTCTCCAACCCCAGACTCTGTCCCCAAAACCAAACCAAAATCAAAAAATAGCTTGCATGAAAGAAAAGTATGCAAGAGAAATTCCTCTGAGCCAGTAGGTGGTGGCTTATATCTTTAATCCCAGCACTTGGGAGGCAGTGGCAGGAGGATCTGTGTGAGTTTCAGGCCAGCCTGGTCTACACAATGAGTTCCAGGCCAGCCAGAGCCACACAGAGAAGCCCTGTCTTGAAAAACCTAAAAGAAAAAAAAAAAAGAAAGAAAGAAAGATTGGTTGATTTCCCTGGATTACCTTTTTGTAATTTCCAGACTTCTCATTGAATTTTTATTAAAAAAATATGAAAAATATCATATTGACTGGGCATGGTGCCACAAATCTTAAATACCAGCACTAAGGAGGCAGAAGCAGGTTGATCTCTGTGAGTTCAAGGCTAGCCTGGTCTACATAGTGAGTTCCAGGACAGCCAGGATTATGTTGAGATCCTGCCTCAACAAAATAAATAAATAAAAGAAAAATGTCACAGTGAATTTTTTACGATTAATATATTCTAACCAAAAGAAAATCCAGGCAGAGGTATGATTCACTGCAGAACAAGTACCCAGTACATTCAAGATCTCAGCAATTCACACAGATGTGTCCCTTAAAGAAGTCAACTCAAGCTTCCAAGTGTTTTACTTTCATCTGCACACCTCCCTCATAACCCTGGTGCTTACAAATATATTAAAATATCTTTATTAAATGCCAAAAGAAAGCACGGTAGCACATGCCTGTCACCCCAGCACTGGGAGGTGGAGACAAGAGGATCTAGAGGGCAAGCATAGCCTCAGCTATACAGTCAGTTCCAGGCCAACTTAAGCAATGAGACCTTACACCGGAAAACAAATTAAAAATAAAACCACGGATGGAAGCTCAAGACTCATTTCCTATCTACTGATGAAGCTTCTGAGAGCAATTCAGCCTCACATCCCGTGTGCTCTCACATGGCACTTGGTATCTATTAAAAACGTGGGAAAGGCCAGGTGTGGTGGCACACACACAGCTACCTCAGCACTCAGGAGGCAGAGGCATGAGGAACTGGTGGGTGGGAGAGAAACGTCCCAGCCAGAATTAGTAAAACCCTGTCCCCACCCAAATACCGTTTTTTTTTTTTTTTTAAAGGAGGAGTACACTTGGTAGAGTGCTTGCCTAGAACATAAGAAACCCTGGTATGGTCTCTAATACTCCATAAAACTGGATGCAGTTCAAGGTTATCCTCTGAAACACACTTCTCCACTCAGGGAAGTTAACCTAATTTGATGAGAGCAGTACAAAAGTGTAATTTCACTTTCCCATTTCATTTTGGTATGGTAGTCTTTAGAAACAACAGCATCATTATACTTCCAAGGGGCCTGGTAGCCCAGTGGCAGAATATTTCTCTAGAACGAGAAAGCCCCTGGGTTTTGTCTCTAAGATTACATAAAAAGGGGGGGGGGGCAATGTCAGAAAGTGCCAACAATAAATGATTCTAATTGTTGTACTTTTACAGACCAAAAGTATAATTGAGCTGTAAATAAGTAAGGTCTTAATAGAAGACCCTACAACTTAGGGACAAGACAGACTTCAGTCTACATGAATGAGTAGGAGTAGCATTATGAGGAACATACAGTGTGCATATCACATTCCAAAGAGGCCCATTTTATTACAGAGAGCACACTGAGCTCTTTCCTCGAAAGGATAAGTCCTGTTCCCCTTCTCCAGGGTGACAAGTGTGTCTCTTCCGGAATCCCTAGTTCTCTGTACTAGCGATACTTCCCATGCCGGTTAAAGTGTTTGTAGAGATAGTTGATCCGTTTGTTAAGGTTGTGCAGGTCATCGGCAAACATTCTGCTTCCAACCATTCTCCTCTTTCGGATACAACGCTGTAATTCATTTCCTCTCCAGCCTCGAAGCCACACTGGGCCCTTGATCAGTTCTTTTGGGTGCTTTTCGAAATTCCCTGTAATGTGAGGAGAGAACAGGTTAGTTTCAAGAGAGGAGAAGGCAGCCTAGGTCAGCTAAGCCTTTAACCCACAGTTTCGTCTCCCTGAGTAGAACTTACAGACAAGGCACACACATAATAGTAGAGTCTTTGGGGCTGAAGATGTATGTGGCTCAGCAGTTAAGAACACTTGTTCTTGACAAAGAGTCCACGTCCCAGCACTCACACCCAGAGGTTCACAACCATCTGCAAGGCCAGTTCTGGGGAGCCTGACACCCTGTACCTGCAGGCCTTTCTTGAACAGCACACATACGGTAAAACAGAGACACACACACACACACACACACACACCTTAAAAAAAAAAAAAAAAGAATCAAGACTTTGTTGCCAGAATGTTTGGGGTTCAAATACCGACACTACCATTCCTAGCTCTGGGCACTCAGAACAGCACACAACTAACTGTATTAGTACGACTGACTGGGCACCGTGCTCTTCTCTGCAACTCGGCCTGGTCTTGCCTGCCTTAGGCTCCGGCTTGTGCCACCAAACCTGCCCTGGGCACCTCGCTATTCTCGATGCAGACAAAAACAAAATGGTCAATACAGCGTGGTAACAACAGTCCCTCTGAAATCAGTTATCAGGGCCTACCCAGGATTCCGATATTGTCATATACTCCAAACAGAGCCCTCTTCTCGTCCCAGCGATCCACCACTCTGGGGGGCGGAAGGGTGAGCCTGACGCGGGTCAGCAGCGGGACACCTAGGGGCGGGAGGGACAGAGAATGAGGCGGCGCTGCCTACTAACGAGCTGTTCGCGGGTCGTGTCGGCTGCACGCCAGCCACCACTTACCCTGCGAGAAGCTTCTGAAGCTCGCCAAGGGCGTCAGGCCCCACAGGCTCCTGCTTGCCACCCAAGGAAAACCCCCCGCCATTACACTAGCGCCTGTCCACCTCAGCGGGGCAGCAAACCGGCCGGAAAAACCAAGTGTGGTTTCTAAACAAAGGACACGGTCTCGGGGTGGGGTGGGGTGGGGTAGGGTGGGGGGTTGTCTCACACGGGGAGGACGGTAACGGAAGCCATCTTGGGCCTTTACCCAGGCGGCTTCGGGAGCAGACCCGCCTTGGCGCGCGCTGCCGCAGCCTCAAGATCCGCCCCGCAACTTCCGGCCTATCCAGCGCGCCCAGCCCGGGCGCTTCCGGTTCATGCACCGGAAATTGTGGGGTTTTTTGTTGTTGTTTTTTTTTTTGCCGCTGCGGCACGTTGCTTGTGGCAGCCTAGGACGCCCTCCGAGAGACCCTCGGTAGAAATAAACCGTCTCCGGCTCCCTCAGGCGTCCTCAAGCGTGAGGGGAGCGGCGGAGGATGGGAGCCCGGCGCTCCGGCAGGGTCGCCTGGCGCCTCGCAACAGGGTTCTGCTGAAGACAGTCCCTTCCCTCAGCCTGCGGGGCGCCGTGACCGGCCGGGCGTCACCTGGCGACAGCTGCGCGGGATCTGAGACAGCCTGGCCCCGCCTCCGGGCCTGCGGAAGGATAGATACCCGGGTCGCCAGCCTCGCCGGGACAGGTCCCGGTGGAGAGCCCGAGGAGGCCGAGGCCACGCCCCCGCCCGCCCGCCTGCCCCGCCTCCTGCGCTGTGATTGGCCGGCCTCGGCAGACGCGTCGCGATTGGCCCCCCGGCAGCCGTTGAGGTTTGAACTCAGAGTTGCGGGCTCTGCGAGCGCCACGCCCGGCTCCGAGGCGGGCCTCCGTCTCAGCCTGCCCGGGATTGGCTGCTTCCTTCGCCAGCTTGAAAACCGTCTCGCTGTTTGGCGCGCATCGTGCCCCGGTGTTTTCTTGCCGCCTTTTCTGCGGGTCGACCCCTGGCGGAGAGGCGGCGGGTGAGCGGTGTCCCGGCGTCCGTGTGAGGTGTGGAAGGGATAGGAGGCGGGAGGTGAAAGGCTGAGACCATCAGGTCCCCTGTGTGTCAGCGACGTCTGCTACGGATGTCCTTGAGGTCCGGGGTGGCAGGCAGTCTGACAGCTCAGAAACGGAACGGGCAGATCGCGTAACCTTCGCGCCCAACCTGGAAATTCCGTTTGTTTCGTTGTGCACCCCGTGAGACCGAGATTAGGAGACTGCAGGATCACACACGGGATGAATAAGTAGATGCTAGTGTTCGTTCATCGTGCATCCAGGAACCCCCGATGCCGAACGACACTTTCTCTAAGGATCGTCCCGCTTTGAGATGGAAGCAATAAGGCTGTGTGTGCACACTGATTGTCACTGAATAGTGCATTAATATTTAATTTTTTGTTTTGCTTTGTTGAGATAGCCCTTGGCAGCCTAGTACTCACTGCAGCGCCCCTGCTGGCCTCAAACTCAGCAGTCCTCAGCCAAGTGTTGGATTTTTAGGCATGTACCACCACACCCGACTTTAACCCTTGACTCATTGGATCCCCAGAATAATATCAGTTTAGAGATGAGACCATGAGGACTCAGTGACCTAGCGACAGAATAATAACAAGAATTAAATTCTCATCTAGGGTTGCTCTTATATAGGGGGAGGGAGGTTTTCTGTAGCCCAGACCATGTTGCAGAGGCTGGCCTGATCTTATATCTTACAAGATAATGTTAATAGCTGCTTGTAAGACTGAAAAAAAATCATATATTGAAAGTGGGGGAAATAATTGAACCAGATAATTTTTTGAGGCTGGGGTTATATCTCAGTAGTAAAGTACCTGCCTGACATACCAAAGATGCTGGGTTTATTTCCCAGTACCACCACCAAAAAAAAAAAAGAAAGAAAGAAATGCTCTTGCTACATATTAAAAAAAAACAGTCTTATATTTAGATCAGTGGTTCTCAACCTTCCTAATGCTATATTAAATGCCCCTCCCCCCTTTCTTTTTCCTTTGGAGACAGATTTCTCTGTAGCTTTGGAACTTGTCCTGGACTTGCTTTGAAGACCAGGCTGGCCTTGAACTCAGAGATCTGACTGCCTCTGCCTCCAGAGTGCAGGGATCAAAGGCGTGCACAACCACCACCACCACCACCACCTGGCTTCAATGCCCTTTAATATAGTTCTTCATGTTGTGGTGACTCCCAACCATAAAATTATTTCATTGATATTTCATAACTATCATTTTGCTACTGTTACAAATCATTTTTTTTTTTTTTTTTATGATCTTAAGAGACAGGCATGCAGGTTCAGAACTTCTGGTTTAGACTGACTGACTTTGTTTGGCTTCTAGGCCTGTGAACCAGTGGGAGAAGGATGTCTCCACAAAACTTTGAATTCCATCTGCCCTTATCTCCAGAGGAGTTGCTGAAAAGTGGAGGTGTGAATCAGTATGTTGTTCAAGAGGTTTTGCCCATCAAGTATCTTCCATCCCAGCTTAGAGGTAAGACCCCATGGCTACCAGTGAACTTCAATAGACACACATCTCGTATATCGTTTCTGTTCTGCAGTACTGTGATACTCCATCTGGACAAGAAATATCTTTCCTATTCCCTACCTTTTTTTTTTTTTTTTTTTGGTAGCAGTGCATGGAATTCATGACACAAAATGTACTAGACTATCCTCCCTGGGTTATTTACTCAAGAAACAGTCTTGCTTTACCTGGTTACACTAGGTAAAGAGCACTGCTTTATATTGTTACCTCTTATTATGAACCAATGTAAAGTCCTGGTAAAATTAAGAATTGTAGGCTAAGGGCTGGAGAGATGGCTTAGAGGTTAAGAGCACCAACTGCTCTTGTAGAAGACTCAGGTTTGATTCCCAGCACCCACATGGCAATTCACAACTGACTGTAACTTGTTCGTGTGGTGTACAGAAATATATATATATGTGTATGTATGTATGTATACAAGCAAAACACCAATCTTCGTACAATTAATGAGTAAAGTTAAAAGTGGGGGGCAGCATAGGCAGTGATAGTGTTTGACTTTTCTTGGGGAACACTCCTGAATCTACAACATGTTTCCAAGAAGTGCAATAAAGGAGAGTCATAGCTGCAGCAACACACACCATAGTCATTTGTTTTGAGAAGTCTGTTGCTAGATGATTCATTATTATGAAGCAGCATCATAGAGTATACATGTGCAGGCTTCTAAAATGGTACAGCCTACTCTGCACTACTTGCCTGGTATACACAAAGTCCTCAGTTTAATCCCAGCCACCAAAGAAAACTGACGTAGTAGTGCACACCTGTAATCCCAGCACTTGGGAGGCTAAAACAGGAGGGTTGCTGAAAGTTCAAGACCAGACTGGACTAGAGTAAAACTTTGTCTCAAAAACAAAGATCAAAACCTCAAGAAAAAATGTCCGGGCCTGGAGAGATGGCTCAGAGGTTAAGAGCACTGACTGTTCTTCCAGAGGTCCTGAGTTCAATCCCAGCAACCACATTCATAACCATCTGTAATGAGATCTGGTGCCCTCTTCTGGCTTCTGGACTGCAGGCATACATGCAGTCAGAACACTGTATACATAATAAATAAATATATCTTTTAAAAAAAGAAGAAGAAGAAATGTCAGGGTGTGCTGTGTAGCACGCCTCGGTTGAGGAAAGAAGGCACTCTAAGATGAAATTTTAAGATCTATGTGACAACAGGAAGGTCCAGCCTCTCAGATGGACTGAACCCCAAACAGCCATACAAAGACATTTATTGTTACACAAAGTATTTCCTCATACCATGGTCCCTAATCTAATTTACATGTCTTACTGAAGGAGAGCATCACACGCCCCACAACTCTAGTCCTTTATTATATTATGTATTGTCTACAATACACAGTAATACAAAAGCCGCAGGTGTGCCTGAGGCGTCTTGTGACCACAGTCATAGGTTGGCTGCAATGCCCCTTCAGCAAACAATCACTGTTTTCCACAAGGATTCTTCAAGGTCAAAGTACTTATAAAAAAAAAACAAAAACAGCTGTTCATTCTAATGTCAACCCTGGATACAATGACTGCTAAATTTCTACAACAAAAAAATAAGACACAAGGTGTATGAGGCTGCTGTTAGAGTAACACAGCATTAGCATTTTATAGTAAATTTATGAGCATAAATATACCCTAAATAACAGTTAGAGCAATTACATAGCTAAGAATGTAGTCTTTTATTACCAAGAATTATATAATGTTCATAGCTGTCTGTGCCATACTTTAATAGAATTTGAAGTGCAGAGTGAATGTGTTTGCACCACAGACCTTACAGATGCATACTGTAAATGTAACCGTGGCTACACCACCATTAGGCAATAGTAAGTTTTCACTCCCGTTGTTGAGTAGGAATTCCATATATGTGGCTCTTCATTGACAGTGTAGCCTGTGATTATATACACAGCGTAGTTACCTCCTGATGTCTACGTAAGACTACAAACAACCTGTATATTTAATCAGTAAGTACCCACAATGTCTCTGCACTTTTTGGAATTGGTTCCTACTAGGTCGCTTAGAGAAATACATATAGACCGAAGCTGCCGGAGGCAGGCTGCTTGGGTTTGACTCTCCTCCACTGCTCTGATCTTGAACAACTTCTTCATAATGTCTTGGTTTCCTCTTCTAGAAAGACAAGAAAAACAACAACCCAGTTCATCTCATCATTAACAATAGCAGGGTTGCTTAGGGACTCCAGCTTCTCTCCTATTGGAGGTGGCAGTTCCTTGCTGGGAAGTTCAGAAGTGGGAAAAGGCATTTCTGTCTTGTGCTTTCTCTTTTCTTTTTTTGAGACAAGGAAGGACTGGTACAACCCGGATCAGTCTCCTGAACTCCTCCTGGTCTTCCTGCCCCTCCTTCTCATCTGCTGGATTGGTTTCTCTTTTTTTTCAGGACTGGGCATTGAATAAGGGTCTTGCATCTGCCAGATAAGTGTTTTACCAAGCTACATCACCAGCCTCCTTTTATTTTTATTTTGACATGGTCTTGCTGAGTTGCCCGGTCTAACCTTGAATTCACTTTGTAGCCCAGTTGAGTTTTTAATCCTGCCTCAGCCTCCTTAGTGACTAGGGCTTCTGGCCAGGAGCAACAGTGACTATCCAGTGCTTAGAGCTTGGATTTTTTTCTTTTTTTTTTTTTTTAAGATTTTATTTATTATGTATACAACATTCT